GGGGGGGGCCGCCGCCTCCTCGCGGCACGGAGGGCATCGGGGGCGAGGGGGGGATACGGAATGGCGCGAACTCGGGGAGCGGAAGTGGCGTAACCGCGGGGCGGAAGTGGCGTCAGAGCGGCGTGGCGCCATGGTAACCGCGGTGGCCGCGGGGGCGCTGTTGCCATGGTAACGGTGGGGGCCCGGGCCTGCATCCCCCGGCCCGCGCTGACCTCGCGGCCCCACGGATCCGCCGGGCCCTACGGAGCGCAGCCGAGGCCCGCGCGAACCGTCCGCCCGGGGGATGAGCGCCGGGCCCGTGTGACCTGAGCCCCGCGTGGGGCCTGAGGGCAGGACGGCATCACTCCGCACCGCTGCGTCTGCAGGGCCGCGCAGCGAGCAGGGCCCGGTGTGCCCCCCTCCCTCCCCTCTTCCTGCCGCGGTGACGCTCGGGGCGGAGGTGAGGGGCGGAGGTGTGGGGCAGAGAATCGGTCCCTCTCCATTTTAAGGCCTCGTTGGGTTTTCTCCACGCTGAGTGGCTCAGCCGTCCCCGCCGCACGGCCGTGGGGGCTATAAAGGCACGGGGTGGGACGCGGGGCTGAAACCTGCGCTACGGGACGGCATGGCTGCTGCGCTCATCGTGCTGCTGGCCCTGGGGGCTGGTATGGGGCTGCGGGCCTGGGGACGGCACCTGGGGGTGGGGGGCTGAGGGACACATGGGGAAAATGTGGGGATGGGGTCATGGGGCCAGGTTTTAGCACGGGGACATGGACATAGTGGAGATGGGGCATGGGGAAGGGGTCGGTGTGGGGACCTGGGGACAGCAGGGATGGCGATGTGCAATGGGGTCAGGAGCGCACGGGCACAGGGTGGGGGCACACAGGGATGTCAGTGATCGCTGTGTGCCCCAGCCCACCCTGGGGTGGCTGTGGGGCAGCGTGGTGACACCCCTGCACCTCCAGCCGTGCAGGTGGCAGTGACTGAGCTGCCGCGTGATGAGCACCAGGCCGTGGCTGCTGGGAGCCGCTGGGAGCAGCAATGGCACCTGCTGGGGGACGGCTCAGCTGCGGTGAGGATGCACCCTGGCCATGGGGCACGTTGTGGGGCAGCCCTACACTGGGTTGGGGCACGGGGTGGGAGACCCCCTGAGGGTCTGTGTTGTCCGCACAGTGGGACGCAGATGAAGGAGATGCAATGGGACCGGGCAAGGGGATTAAATGCAGAGCCTGCGTCGCTCTGGTGAAGAAGCTGCAGAAGATTGTAGGTGACGACCCTGATGAGGTGAGTAGGGTGTGCGGGGTCCTGGAGGAGTCGGGGGGCCCAGCGGCTGCAGTCGCACTGACACCACGGGGCCGGGACCCACAGGAGGCCATCGACACAGCGCTGGACAAGGTGTGCAGTACAGGGAAACGCCAGAAGAACATCTGCAGGCAGCTGGTGAAGAAGCTCCGGCAGCAGCTCAGCGATGCGCTGCAAGATGACGACGATCCCCGCTCTGTGTGCACCACCCTGGGGATGTGCAAGGGCTGAGCGCGGCCAGAGCCCACATCCTGCGCCCCACATCCTGTGCCAGAGCCCCACATCCTGTGCGCAGACCCCACATCCTGCATGTGGACCCCAAAACGCAGACCCACAGCCCCGTCCCAGCCCTCCTTCCGCTCCCTGTTCCCATGCAATAAAGCCGCTCACCTCTTCTGTCGCCCCTTTGATTTGGGTTTTATTTGGCCATGGGAGCTCTGGAGACGGGGGGCTGACGTGTGGGGACCTCAATGATGGAGCTATGGGGGGCAGGTGGGGGCTTTGGGGACGGGGTCCCCATGGGGACGTGGGGGTGGTGTGGTGATGGAGGGGACGCGGCGATGGGGGCCAGGTTGAGCCCAGTGGATCCCATCCTGTTGCTCCCAGCCAATCAAAGCACAGGAGATCCTTTTTTTGGCCACAGCCCATGAGAGCGCAGGAGATGCTGCAGCTTTTGGGACCGATCAGAGCATGGCATCCCATGGTGGGGGCCGCCTGCTCCTTCCCAGACCCCAGGTTGCCCCCAGATGACGCCTGCCCCTGGGAGGCCCCCATACCCTGGGGTGCCACTCGGCAGCCCCAAACGCCCAGGGGGTCCCCAGCCCCACGGGCTCCATCCTGATGTGTCACCCCACAGACACCCTGCACCGCAGACCCCTGCGGGACACCCGAGGTGCCCTCATAACCCCCGTGGGATCACCAGACCGGGGGCCCCCAGTTTTTAGCCCCACGATGATTGCTCCGAGCTCCACGAGGTGGCACATGTCACCGAGCGGGCTGGGGATGCTGACTTCCACCGCTGGGACCCCCGGGCCAAGGGGCCGCCAGGTTTGGGGTCGCAGGGTGCTGCCCCACGGGTGGGGCCACGGCTCCCCCAGCGCTCCGTCCTCATCCCCAGAACGGTCCGGGGGTCTCGGGGAGGGGACAGCAGAGGGCAGCCATACAGAGCAACGCTGGGACAGCGTTCCCAGAGGAGAAGTCCACGCCGACCCCATTTATTGGGGAGCCCCGGCGCCATCGCGGCGCCAGCTGAGCCCTTCCCACATCAGTCCTGGCTCCTCGGCGCGTCCCCGCCGCCCAGTCCGGCTCACTGCCCCATCATGCACGCCATCTTGCAGGCCACGGCCGAGATGAGCGCAGCCCCGCGCCCGCTGCCCTCCTCCGACTGGATGAAGGTGATGTCGCAGCCGGGAGTCAGCTGTCGTACGGTGGCGTGGAAACGGTCCTTGAAGCTGCGGGGGGAGGAAGAAGGTTGGGAGGAAGAGGGTTGGGTGGGAGTAGGGTTAGGGTCATGGTTAGGGTTAGGTTAGGATTATGGTTAGGAGTAGGGTTATGGTCACAGTTAGGGTTAGGGTGATGGCTGGAGTTAGGATTATGGTTTTGGTTACGGTTAGGGCTAGGATCACAGCTGCAATGAGGACTATGGCTAAGGTTGGTGTTGTGTCCCAAGGTGGGGTTAATGGATAGGGTTACATCAAGGTTACTGTTAGAAGAAGAAAACGGAGCGTCGGGGCAACGGGAAGAGGAGGACGGAGGCTGGGAGGGGGGACGGCTCCCCACGGTCTCACCTGGGGTGCAGCTTGTACACAGAGCCGTCCACCCCCACGGTGATCTTGAGGGTCTCCTGGCTGCGGCTCTCCCGCATGCGGTTGATGACGCCCGCCAGCCCAGCGGAGCACATCTGCGCAGCCCGCGTGGACACGCTCTCGCACACCATGCGCACGATGTCGCAGTCCGAGCCCGAGGGCAGCAGCCCGAAGGCTGTGAGGATGTTGTAGATCTGCTTGCGGTCGCCTGAGTCGCTGCGGTGGGACAGAGCCGCGTGTGGAATGGGGGATGGGTGTAGAATGGGGCCGTGGGGTGGCGTGGGGCACCCATGGGACTGGAATCCAACTCTGCACAGCTACGGAGGGCTGGTGTGGGCCGATGGGGCAGGGAACCCCAGTGGGGATAGTTCTGGAGGGCTGGCATGGGATGAGAGAAAAGGGGGCCCCAAATTGGAGCAATGGGACAGGGGACACCAACCTAGGCCAGTAGGATAGGGGACTGCAGTGTGGGCAGCTATAGAGGGCTGATGTGGGGTGACAAGACGGGGGCTCCCAATTCGGGACAGCCATTAGAGTGAGTTGGGCTGATGGCAAAGCAGACCCTGGTGTAGGACGCTGATGTGGGGAGATGGAGCTGCAGAGCTTGATGTCCAGCGTGAGGCAACAAGGCAGGGAACCCCAGTATGGGGCAGCTGTAGAGGGTTGTCACAGGATGATGGCACAGGGGCCTCAGTAAGGACAGGGAGAAACAGCTGCTGTAGGGTGATGACACAGGGGACCCCTGTGTGGGACAATCTGGTGGGGAGGGATGGGGGAGGGGATCCCAAAGTGAGGCAATGGGATAAGAGAACAAAGTGGGATCACCAATGGAAGAGGGACTGCAGGGTAGGGCAGCTGTAGAGGGCTGGTGGGACACGAGCCCAGTGTGGGACACTGGTGTGGGGAGATGGAGCAGGGGACCCCAGTGCGGGATGTAGGAGAGATCAATGAGCAGGGGAGCTCAGAGTCCATCTGGGGAAATGAGGGAGGGAAGCCTGGTACGGGGCAGTTGTAGGGGGTTGTCATGGGGTCACGGAATGGGGGACCCCAGTGTGGGGAAGTGGGGCAGGGGAGCCACACGTGGGGCCGTTCTGGAAGGCTGCCACGGGGTGATGGGGCACCTCAGTGAGGGACAGACCGGTGTTGGGAGACGGGGCAAGGGACCCCAGGGCTGGAGAATGACGCGGGGAAGCCAATATGGAGCAGCCGCAGATCGTTGCCGTGGAGCGACGGGACAGAGGACCCCGCATGGGGCAGTCGGGGAGAGGGGACGGGAACCTTAAGGTGGGGTGAGGGGACGGGGAGCACCACTGGCCCGAGGGCCCTCTGGCCCCCCCGTACCTCTCCACCTGCGACACGAAGCGTGTCTCGAAGGCTCCGCGCGTCTTGAGCTTCTCGCAGGCCTGCCCGCTGAACAGCAGGTTCTCATCCACCAGCCGCAGCAGCACCAGCCGCACGATCTCCCCCATGTATTTGCCCCCGATGATCTTCTCGTAGCTGGGGACGGCGCAGCGTCAGAGCCCCGCTCCCCCACCCCACACATTCCATACGGGGAAGGAGCCGCCGCCGCCCCACTCCTTACAGCTGCTGACCGGGGTTAAGCGAGGTCTCGTCCACCACGCGGTCGTACTCCAGCAGGAACTCGTCCAGCTCCCCCGACGCCCCGAATGCTCCCCACTCGGTGTTCACACACATGCGGCCCTCGTCGCCCTCCACCAGCTCCACGTTGTGCATCTCCTCCATGTAGCAGGCGTTGCAGCCTGTCCCTGTGGGGATGGGGGATGGCTTTGGGGTCTGGGCCCGCTCCGTGCCCCCCGGTATCGCCCCGCTGTGACACCCTGGCTCCTTACCCACGATCATGCCGACCTCGCAGCGGTGGTCCTCGTAGTAGCAGGAGATCATGGTGGCAACGGTGTCATTCACCATGGCCACCACGTCCATCTCAAAATCCTGCCAGGAGGGACACGGGGTGACGTGGGCACGGGATGGGGAGACGTGGTGACAGTGGGTACAGGATGGGAACACGCGGTGAGGGTGGGCACGGGATGAGGACACACGTGGCGACTGCAGACCCAGGGTGGGGACACACACGACGGTGGTGGGTCCCAGGGAGGACACACACGGTGACAGCAGGGCCGGGGGGACGGCTCACCCCGCGCCGTTTGATGGCATCCCGCAGCAGCCCCACCACGTTGTTCCCCTCCGCTCCCGAGGCCTTGAAGCCCTTGGTCCAGTTCAGCAGGATGCCCTGGGGGGCACGGAGCGTTGGGTGGGGGTCGCAGCAGCTCTGTGTCCCCCCGCCCTGCCATCCCCTCACCTTGTCGATGTCCTCGTGCCGCACGGGGAAGGAGAAGGTGAAGCCCAGGGGCAGCTTTTTGTGCTTCATCTGGTGCTTGTCCAGGAAGTCAGAGATGCACTCCGAGATATAGTCGAAGAGCTGGGGACGGCAGGAGGGATGTCACCGCAGTGTCCCCATCCCTGGTGCTGCTGTGGCCCCGTCACCCCACCCCCACCCCCACCATACCCACACCGCTCCGTTCCCAGCGCTGCCACAGCCCTGCCACTGCCACCAGCACTGCCATGTCCCCACTGCCCTGCCCCCAGAGCCACCGTGTCCCAGTCATCCTGTCCCCAGTGCCACCACATCCCCACCACCCCATCCCCAGTGCCACCACGTCCCAGTATCATTCCCTGTGTCACCACGTCCCCATCACCCCATCCCCACTGCCATCATGACCCCATCATCCCACCTCCAGTGCCACTATGTCCCGGCCGCCCTGTCTATCCTGAGCATCACCACGTCCCCATCGCCCCATCCCCGGAGCCACCCTGTCCCCAGACTGGACACCAAAGGGGGACACCCCTCCTCCCTCGGCAGCGAGGACCCCCTTGGCCCCCGCTCACCATTTCGGCCGTCCCCGTCATGGCGTCCTCAGGGATGGAGTACATCTGGTGCTTTGTCTTCACCTTCCACTGCCCCTCCTCGCCCTCGCCCACCTTCACCAGCATCACGCGGAAGTTGGTGCCGCCCAGGTCCAGCGAGAGGAAATCCCCGACCTCTGCGGAGCAGCGTGGACACGCGGGGCGCCTCATGGCCATCCTGCCGCTCCCGCAGCCCAGGGCTGGGCGCAGCCCCACGGCTCCTTACCCGATCCCTCCGGTGTGGAGCGCACGTAGGTGGGCAGCATTTTGACCGACGCCTCCTCGTGCGTCTCCAGCTTCAGCCCACGGTCCATCTCCTTCTGCATGCGGTGCATCACCTTCCGCAGGTCCTCCTCCTTCAGACGGAACTCCGACAGGATCTGCTCCACCTGCGGGGTTTCCCGGGACCGTGGGACCCCCGGCAGTGGGCGCTGAGGACCCCAATCCCCCGTTCCCCCCCGCTGCCATCCCTGCTGTTTTCCTCCCGGCCGTGCTGCGGCCCCCAGCCAGCTGTGCTCGCTGCATTAAGGCCTCATTAGTCAGCGGGCCCAGGCTGCGAGCGCCACGGCTGTTTTCCTGCGGCTGCTGCTTTGCAAAGGAGCGAACGAACGGAGCCTTTGGGGTGACCCCAACAGAGCCTTCAATACAATCCCAAAGCAGTCTGCAGGGCGAGCCCCCACAGTCTTCAGAAACTTTGGGGTGACTCCAATGGAGCCCTTGAGATGACCCCACCAGAGCCTTCGGGGTGACCCCCACAGCACCTTTGGGGTGATCTCAAAGGGGCCTTCAGGGTGACCCCAACGGAGCCCTTGAGGTGACCCCAATGGAGCCTTCAGGGTGACCCCAACAGCACCTCTGGGGTGACCCCAGTGGCACCTTCATGGTGACACAGAGCCACCCCACACTGCTGGGCGCTGCTCCTTGCTGAATCCTCCCCCATCCCTCCATGCCCACCCCAGCACAGACACTTGAAGCCCTGTGAGTCCAACTTTGGGGTCTCAGCCACAAGCCCCCCCATGGGGACACAGCACTGTGGTCTTGGGGTTAGGAGCACCACAAGGAGAAGCTGATGGCACCCCGCGTGCAGCCCCCTGCCCTCCTGCCACCCCCCTCCCCACGGTGCTGGCCCCACAGCTTTCTGCTCCCAATGTGGGGCTTTGCTTTGCATTCGGGTCTGTCCTTTCCCACCCAACACCAGTGCAGGACGCAGGGCCCTGCCGGGCTCTTCCTGGGGTCAGAGCCCACGTGCCCCATGCAATGCCCGGTGCCCAGCACCCACAGCCCAACCTGCCAGCACCTCAGCCCAGCACAGCCACAAGTGGGCCCGGCCATGGGGCTACGGTGCTATGGGGCCATGGGGCTATGGTGCAATGGGGGTATGGGGCCATGGGGTGATGGTGCTATGGGGCTGTAGGGCCGTGGTGCTGGAGCTCACCTTCTCCTGCCGCCAGCTCTCCATCCTGCTCCTGTGGTCCAACATGGGGGCAGCCGTCGGTGCGGGCCGGACACCGCTGTCCCCCCGCGTCCCCCCGTGTTCCCCCCGCCCGGATCTCCGCCCTTAGCTCATGGGGTGCCCCCGGTCCCCCCCCCACGGCCGTCCCGTCAGGAGGGCTCGGGCCCGGCTCCCCACATCCCGGGGCAGCCCTCGGGGTGCGGGGTGCCCGCAGGCCCTCTTCCTGCTCTGCCTGCTGCCCCGTGGGGCGGTGGGGAGGCCGTGGGCGCCCGGCGGAGCGGTGCAGCCCGTCAGCGGGCGGCAGTTGTCATACCAACCACTCCGTGTCCTGGTCACCACCGCCAGCTCTCCAGCGGTCCCATGGAGACGGGCGACCGCGGCTCCGTGACAAAGGTGACAGTGCGACAGCCGCCGGCCCCACAGCGCCGGGGGGAGCCCCACGTGGAGCTCAACTGGCGTGGCCCCCCAGGATGACCCCATAGCGCTGGCCCCATAGCGCGGTGCCTGCCCCACAGCGGGGTGAAGCTGTGGGGTCGTGAGAGAAGCGTTAGGGTGCACCGGGGGGCTGCCCCAGAGGGGGCCATTCTGTGGGGTGAGGCTGCCCCATGGGGCCAGCCCCACACCTGAGGCCACGCCCAACGCGGAGGCCCCGCCCACCTCAAGGCCCCGCCCACGCGCGAGGCTCCACCCACACGTGTACCCTGGGTGTGGCCTCACCCCATCTCGGGCGCCCCGCCCACACTACAGGCCACGCCTATCCAGACGGACACGCCCCATAGGCCACGACCCCTGCACAAACCACGCCCCCAATCCTTTCCCCGCCCGCACTGAAGGCCCCGCCCACTGATGAAGCCCAGCCTCCAGACCAGGCCACGACCACAAAAGGCCCCGCCCTTCGCCCAGCATGACGTCAGTGCGACGCTGATTGGCTCTCCCCGCTCCGATGAGGCAGGTGGGCGGGGTCGGCCATCCTGCCGTACTGTCATTGGCTGAAAGAAGGAAGGAGGGCGCAGCGAGGGTGGCGCCTGCGCAAGGCAGGTGTAGCCCCGTGGCAGTGACCGGCGTTGGGGTCACTTCCGGTCGCTGCCTTTCTGCTTCCGGGTCCGAAGCTCTCCCCTCCGCCGTCGCTTACGAACAGCCCCGCTGCGCCGGTACCGGGCGGGCGCGGCCTAGGGGTGCGGGGCGGGGCCTGGAGGGGCCGGGGGCCGCAGGGGGCCGGGGAACAGCAGGGCAGAGGCAGCGGAGCCGCGCCGGGAGCGCTGCGGGGCGGAGGCTGCGGTGATGGGAGCTGGGAGGGAGGGGACGTGGGGTCCCGGTGTGGTTCTGTTGTGTCCGGTGGAGCTTTAGTGGGTCCCCATTGCGGTGCTGGGGGATCCCGGCGGGTTGCACTGCCCGGTGGGTCTCGGTGAGGTCGCTGTGCTTCCCGTTGGGCTCTGATGGATTCCTGGGGGGGTTCTGGGGCGTTCCCGGTGGACCCGATGCAGTAGTGGCGGGGTTCCGGGGGGGTCCCGGCGGTTCCCGTTGGGGTCTGAAGGCGCTCGGTGGGTTCCTGGTGGTGTTGGAACCAGACCGGTGGGGTCCGGTGCAGCCAGTGGAATCCCGGTGTGTCCCAGCGTCAAACTGGTGTGCCCGGTGGGGTCCTGCTGGGTTCTCGTTGGGGTCTTTGTGGGTCCTAACGAAGTCCCCGCGTGCCCAGTCCTCCAGGTGGGATCTGAGTGGTTCCCGCTGGGGTCCTGGGTGGAGTCCTTGTGGGTCCTGGTGCGCCTGCTGAGCTCCCAGCAGCTGCTCTTGGGGTTCTGGTGGTTCCTGTTGAAGTCCAGATGCGCTCAGATCCTGGTGGAGTCCTTGTGGAGTCCCTATGGGGACCCTGTTGTGTTTGGTGTGCCCAACGGTGTCCCAGTGGGTCCCAGTGTCGTCTTGCTGTGCTCAGTGAGGTTTCCTTGCGTCCCCATGGGCTTCTGGTCTGGGCCAGGTGTGCCCTGTGGGTCCCAGCATGGTGCTGGCAGGGTCCCCGTGGTCCCCTTGCCCACAGGACGCCGCTCAGCGCCCCGCTCTGCCCGCAGCGCCCGCCATGAGGCTGTACAGCCTGAGCGTGCTTTACAAGGGTGAGGCCCGCGTGCAGCTGCTGAAGGCCGCCTCCGATGTCTCCACCTTCAACTTCTTCCAGCGGTCCAGGTGAGCCCCGACCCCCCTGCGTCCCCAGGGCGCATGGGGCCGCGTTCTGCTCCCACACAGGAGGCACTGCCTTCTCATTACATCTCACTGCCTTCTCATTACATCTCACTGCCTTCTCATTACATCTCACTGCCTAATTACAACCTGCTTTGTCTCCCTGCTGGGCGCTGCCCGCTCAGGACCGGACGGTTCAGCCCGGAGTTTGGGAGGGCTCAGAGCCCTGTGGGATGGGGCAGGAGTGGAGCTGTTGGGCTGCTCGCTCACAGCACTCCAGTTCCCAGCCCTGTCCATGCTGAGGGTTTGTTGGAGCCTCTGGCGCGTCTGGTTCTGCAATTGCAGCGATAGAGGGAAATGCTTTTAAGTAAAACCATCTTAAAAAACCATTCTTTGGGCCAAATAAGTGAGGGGAAAGGGGGAGTTGGGGCAGCCCTGTCACACATGCACTCGAAGGCGGATTGAGCACGGTGAAGTGATCTGCAGAGCCCACTGCTGCTTATCGTGGCTCTTTGCCGAATGCAGACATTTGCTGCAGAAGGGCTGTGCCTGTGCTGGGGGAAAATGCCCTGAGAAATCCCGGCACAAAACCCACCAGCGTCTCAGTGGGGCTGTGGGAGGGGAAGAGGGGCCACGGGGCTGGGCCGGGGCTAGCCTGTGCCCCACAGCCCCATGGGGCCACGCTCCTGGGTCGGTGAGAGCCGGTGTTTTGTGCTCGCAGCGTGCAGGAATTCATGACCTTCACCAGCCAGCTGATCGTGGAGCGCTCGGAGCTGGGCAGCAGGGCCTCGGTCAAGGAGCAAGGTGAGCGCTGTGCCTCCTCCAACCGCGCCTGGGCGGGCTGGAGCAGAGCAGGTCCAGGCCTGGAGTCCTGCCCGCACTGCGGAGCTGAGCTCCCTCCTGGAGCACTGAGGGGCTCCGGATCCCCCCAACCCCCCTCTCTGCCCAGACTACCTGTGCCACGTCCACGTGCGCGGTGACGGGCTGGCCGGCGTGGTGATCGCCGACAACGAATACCCGTCACGGGTGTGCTTCACTTTGCTGGACAAGGTGAGCGGTGCAGGCGGGACTTGTGTGTCACCTCGGGGCCTTCTTGAGGGTCTGCCAGCTCTGTGCCGGGGGAACAAACCCCGCTCCCTCACACGCAGGTCCTGGAGGAGTTCTCCAGGCAGGTGAGCAGGGCAGACTGGCCCTCGGGGTCTCCTGCCACCATCAGCTATGCAGCTCTGGATGGATACCTCAGCAAATACCAGGTATGGGGCCTGGGCTTCCGGGCTGCTGTGTGCGTCGCTGCTGCGCTGACGCTGCTGTCTCCTCTCCCAGAACCCCCGTGATGCCGACCCGATGACCAGAGTGCAGGCAGAGCTGGACGAGACCAAAATAATCCTGGTGAGGCTGCAGCTGCTGCCCATCCCTGCTCCCCTCTGCTCCGTCATGGGAGCTCTGTGCCATCAGCACCGCTTCCTTTTGGCAGCACAACACTATGGAGTCACTGCTGGAGCGAGGGGAGAAGCTGGACGATCTGGTGTCCAAATCTGAGGTGCTCGGCGTGCAGTCCAAAGCCTTCTACAAGACCGTGAGTGCGCTTTGCTTCGCCGGGGGGTTTCCCTGTGAGCTGCGGGATGGGATGAGGGCAGCGAGGAGCTCAGCTTCCCAGCTGTGGCCATGGAGCTCCTCGACCCTTCCAGAGGAGCTGAACCTCACGGCTGCAGGTTTGGCCACGAGCTGAGCTGTCGGGCCGAGGTCAGCCCACGGCTGGGGGTGCGCTCACGCCATTTCCTCCACTTCTGCAGGCCCGAAAGCAGAACTCGTGCTGTGAGATTATGTGACCCGGAGCCGGGGCTCTCCTGCTCCAGCTCACCGGGGCCTTCGCTCCCGTTCGGATCTCGGCCGCTCCCAGGACTGAAAGCAGAACCCCGCGGGCTCCTGGGCCGCAGCCTTACCCAAAAACTGGACTCAGCGGCCCCTGTGCCGGGGGAGCGCCGTGCCCTGCCATGACGCCTGTCACACCAGCGAGTGCCTCGGCCGTGGGATGGGGAGAGAGGAGCCAGGCCCCCCTGCAGGGCCTGGGGCTGTGCGGGGAGCGGGGGGGCTTTTATGGGGCCGCCGCCGGGGGGGGGGGGAAGAGGTAGGGGAGATGGGTTTCTCTGGTCTGCGGCGGGCTGGGGGCTCCGTGCTGCGTTCTGCCCCCTTCCTTCAGCAGAACCAGGGGCCGTGGGGGCAGGGAGGCACCCAGGGGACGTGGCACTGCACAGGAAGCCCTGCAGCATGGCGCTGGTGGGGGTTGTCACCTTTGGAATGGGTCTGAACCCCCACTTCCTGCCTGGCCCCTGCGGGCAGGTTTGGGGCGTGGGGAAGCGGCGGGGACAGGCGTGGGGCTCCCCGCTCATTGCCCCATGGCAGCCAGGGGGGGTCTCAGCCTCCCCCACTCCTCGGGAAGGGCAAAGCTTTCGCTCGGGATGTAGTGTGATCGGTGTTGCCTGTTGTTTCCGTGCTGGCCCATAAAGTTGTCTTTGACGGTTTGTAGCTCAGCTCTGCTTGGGTGTCGGGGATGGGATGTGAGGCTGGGGGCGGGGGGGCAGCACCAGGGGGCGGCCCTACAGGAAAAGGCCGGGCAGCAGCGCGCGGTCGCTCCGCAGCGTCCACCGGGATTTCCTTGTCAACGGTTGTTTTTCCTCATAATTTATTTGCAGTTTTTTTTTTCCCGAGACAAAAACGAAATCAGTCATCTTTTACACTTACAAGGCTCAGAAAGAAAAGACGAAGGGGTCCGAGGAGGGAAGGGGGGAAATGCTGGGGGGGGGGGGAAGGGGGAGGGATGGAAAAGAACGAGAGAAAAGTGGAAAGGAGAGGGGAGAAAATTCGGCAACGATCCACCAGCATTCATGGGACAGAAACAGCTCAGCTCAGCTCCTGACATACAGCGTTAGCGCTCCAGGTGCTCCCGCGCAAAGTGCATGCAGAAAATAAACCCCGCCCCCCCGAACCCCCCCGACCCACGGCCACAGCCACAAACA